GGTGACAAAAACCAGTAGAGCGTTGTGGCTTTATTGATGCATCACACATCTAATAAATATTTATCCTTATTTATTAGAATAAGTTAAATATTCAACTGTGGCAGCAAGGGTAATGGAGGATCAGGGTGAGATTTTCACAATACATCTTTATATAAAAATATCACAATAAATAAATCCAGTCTATTCATTATTTTTGAGATTTAAAAACGATGCTCAGTCGTTTGTTAGTGTGAGTTATTAATAGCCATTGACAACTCTGGAGCTGCAGGTTGCACACTGTTGCTTTACGCTATGTAGAAAGAAATGTTCCTCTGGTTTTTCATTTAGGGATTTTGAAACTATGATTTTTTTTATTTTTTACTTTAATATAACGTTCACGTGTTTAGTTCAAATGGAATAACTGAATCCCATTTACCTTGCCCACTGAAAACTGATCCATGCCAAGGTTAGATCAGTTAATCGTGCCAAGCTCGGTTACCAACATTTTCGGCATCACACTAGAACGGTTCCTCGCCTCCTAGTGGTGATCCACGGTACTACTGCTCTCTAGAGGTAAACAAGTAAACCAACATGGCGGTTAACATTCAGGAAGTTTGCAGAGAGTTAGGCAAAGAAGGCAGCTTTTGGTGAATTTACTTGACGGAGTCGGCTTTTGGGAAGTGGATACGACAAACGATAGACTGATCAGGGCTTACAGGTGAAGGAAATGACAGACATTGAGGTTCATCACACTGCTTAGCAGAATCATTACTGGAAATTGAGCGGCACGGTGGAGAAGCTAGTATTTTTATGAATATTTGAAGTTTCATGATTATGGAGGCTGTACCAGTTTAGCATGGTTTGGTTATGTCTGGTGCGGTCCGGTTCAGTTGTGTGTGCCATTTACACTCTACAGTTATCTCGGTATCTGTGCTCGGACCGATCTCGGCACAGTTTCAAAAGGGTAGTGTAAATCAGGCTATAGTGTTGTGTAAAAGCAGTTTAATTAAAAGAACATGAGCTAGGCTTTAAAAAATGTTTGGATCCTCTGTTTAGAGAAATAAATATGTCAATTATAGCTTTTTAAAATCATGGACAGATTATGTTAGGGAGGAAACTGGCTTCTGATGTTTTAAATTAGTTGCTTATGACCATAAAGGTATTTTTTAAATATAAATGAACTGACTATTAGGTGGTTTACAAAAAAGGAAATATTTGGGCATGCTTTGGTGGCGCAGTGGTTAGTGCACACCATCCATGTATGAGTGGGGGTTCGAATCCCCTTTCCTGTCAGCCTACTGTCCATGAAAACAAGCCACTAGTGCCGTAAAACAATTTCAGGTAGCTCTTTTTCTCTTTCATGATCTTTATGTCAAAGTTCCTCGACAATCATAACAGGTAACATAACCAGAGGTGAGGCTCAAGTCACATTACTTGGACTTAAATCAGACTCCAGTCATTTTTATTATGACTTAAGACTTGATTTATAAAAATGTTCAAAGACTTGGGGTTTTAAAACTGGGACTCCAGACTCTAACATGTTTACTAGAAAATGCCTAACATTCTACACTTAACTTTCTATGTTAGACATCAAATTTTACACAAAATCTAGTGTTGAATGCCTGTTATAGAAAAAAGTGTGCACGTTTGAGCCCGGTTCATATCAGCTGCGTTCAACTTTTTGATCTTGCATCCATGTATTTTTATTTCTTTGTTTCTGTCACACTGACTGCAGTGCATACAGAGAGGCTGCGGCTGCACAGGGTGGGCAGATCTGTCTCTGTGCCACACAATGTAATACAATTTCCCACATTTGACTTGAATAGATAATGAAAATGTATTATTTAAAAAAAAACAACAACCGGTGCAGCTACAAAGAAAAGCCCCACCTAATGAGCCTGTGCAGTATCTTGTTAGGATAATTATCATTAATGATGTGTGAGTTTATTACACCTTAATATTGCCAGAACTGTTTTTCACAATTTTTTTTTATCTAATTATGACAGTTCCTCTGTTTGGATATACAGTTATAATCTTCATTTTGTACGTGGCAAAGATTTGGAAATGGAATGAGAGCAG